CACACACACACACACACACACACACACACACACACTTCTCCGCCTCATTCTGTTTTCATTTACTCGTTCGTTATCTGCAGCTTCAATCTTGTAGGCTACTCACTTCGTTTCTTGTAGCCCTCGAAAGGGTTTTGGAGGTTGATGCCTCGCTGAACGTGAGTCGTTTGGCTTTCTTGTCCGCAGCAGCAGAAAGCATTTTCGAATGTTTGAATGAATCAAAGTGGGTCGTCACGTCGATGTTCTCTTATGCTCCAACACACAGTTGCACGGGGTGCAGAATAGTTTCCCCCCACTTTTTGCCCGGTCTTTAGTTGAAATGTTCGTCGGAAATGTTCGTCGGTAAATGAGATGGATTAGATATTTTCATCTTGGTGTTTTCTCTATCGTGTGAGCTCCACACGTTCACTCTATACAGTGTTGTTTACATTCTGTGATGCGCGAGCTGATGACGTCACGTCAAGACGAGTTAACATTTTTTTTTCTCAACTTTGTGTGGAAAAATGCGGGGATTATGCGGCCTTTTGGAAATCTGCGCCATTTTGCTGATTATGCGGTAAATTCTGCGATCGCAGAATCGCGTTTTTCTGGAGGGTCTAATAATTACTGTGGCTGTCATCAGACGGAAGAGGACTCAAGGTGAGGACATTCACACATTATACTTTACAAACAACAAGCTTTTGATCAACATGGATTTCAACTGTGGAAGATTAAGTCCATTTATTTTATATATTATTTCCAGGGAACGAAACCCAGACGGATGACAACGTAGTGAGTTAAAACTAAATAATCAAACATTTATTAAAAAAAAAGTGATTTCATAAATGTGAGCAGGTTTTGAAGATTTTGTAATTTATTGTTGTAATTTTCCTAAAATGTAATCAGAAAACAAATAACAGTCATGATCATTTTGTACAGGAAGTAAGAGTTTGTGCAGCAATGTCAACATGTTTATTTAATATATATTTATGAAAATAAATTAAAAAGTGAACAATTAAATGTGAAATCAACACAAAAGTTGCATTTGATTAAAATGCACAAAAAACACTGCATAAGTGCAGCAGAAACAAAACATAGGTGTAAAAGTTATTTCTCATAACCTTCCGTCTTGCACTGCAACAATAATACACAAATAATAATCATAATGCATTTTATTTGTGGAGGCTGATCCTGAAGATGGTGTTTCCTACGCCTCCATCAGCTACACCTGGAAGACCAGCAGGAAAGCCAGAGTAAGATTTCTCATTGGATAAACTTGTGATGTTTAGGACTTAATAATCTCTTCCTATAATTTTTGAAGTCCAAGCATACCCTGTTTCATCGTCTATTTTACTCTTAATAATTAACAAAATGAAAATCATTCTGATTGAAGCAGACCCGCAACTAAAGATTAAGACCATAAAATATGTAGGAAAATGTTTTCTAAATTATGAAATCAAATGGGAAGTAGGGCCACTTGCTCATACCCTTCTTTACAATCTGACTGATTTTTGCATCGAGGGGCCATTTAACAAAAATGTTTAGGCACTTTGACCTAGAGACTCTCGTTCTACTATTGGCTAGCGCCCCAACTTCCAGCAACCAATCAGAGCAGACTGGGCTCTGGTTTCAGACAGAGGGTGAAAAGAGGTGCTGCAGCACAGGCAGTATGAGAAACATAAAGAGCTTTTTGAAGATTAAAGCATGGAGACATGTCACAAAGTACCAATATGAACCTGAACATTACCAAC